TCCCTTGGCCCACGATGTGCACAGTCCCAGACGGTACTTGCTTGACTGGACCGGACTGGGCTACCTGGGACTGCTGACTCTGCGTAGTGGACCTATACCACTTGCCCACTTGCCTCGGCCTAAACAGGGGCTGACTCCGAAAGGCCAGTTCTAGAAACCTCTACTTGGCCTTTCGGTACTGTAGCAGCTACGACTTTGGCCTTTCGGTACTGTAGCAGCTACGACTTTGCCCTTTCAGGTAAGTAGCAGCTACGACCTTGACCCTTCAGACATCCTACAGCTACGACTTCGGAACTGTCTAGACTCCTACCCTACAAGTCTACAGTTCGATTCCCTTCTGTGACCTACGAAAACCTGCCTACCACTGGCGGTCCTACAGGTCGCAGGTTCAAGTCTATGGGTTGACACTGATACTATACACAGGTAAGACAGGGAACTAGATCATGTAAAACAAAGACCCTTAATACAGGCGATCCTAAGTGCAACGAAGTTGCCTCTACCAAAAAAATTCGGGAACGTCTGCGTTCGCTACTGCGAACTGGTGAATACCGTTTCAGCCTGCGCGTTTAATAATGTAATATCCTAAAGCACTCAGATGCAGCCCTCCACCCATAGACAGGACCCTCTGGGCATTGGAAGCAGGCCTATTACCCAGCGGCCACGCTTGGGGCAAATAGGGTCACTCTTCTGGGAAAATGTACCGCTGAGTGGATACAGGATCTGAAAATAAAAAGGGCTTTCGAGCTGTGAGAAGACTAACTCTTCTAAGGCAAGGTCTCACTTAGCAGCTCTTTGGCAAGGTCTCTCTCTTTTTTCTTTTTTTTTCTTTTTGAGACAATGCACCGATGTATCTTGGGGAGCAACACAGCTGGGAACCGGGCCCAGCTCCCTTATCAGAATACGAAAAATGAGCTACCGGGGCCATTACCCGGCTTCGGCTAAGAACAATTGAAGAGAAAGGAAGAACTCAGAAACATTCATGGTTCACTACTCAAACTCTACCAAGTCACTAGAATTTGTGTCTCAAAAAGCCTCCCAACCACTCAGTTACCGAAATTCTTTGTGTTTCTGACCTTTTCATCCTTCAGGGAAATGTGGCAGTTTCGGTGAAAAATTCGCCGAAAATGACAACCTATTAACCATTGGTGCCTTCGGGGCAAGTAAACCACTCAATGGAGCACTCGTCTGGTTGTATACACAGTCAGCAGACACGAAGGAGCCTAAATCGATGGAATCGAAACAGCACATTGCCGCATACTTGAGCAGTACCAATCTGTCAGCACTCGGTCGGCCGGTTGGTCGGATGAGACTAAGTACTCGTTGGCTGCTGTCAGAAAAGGCTTTGGAACTGAGAGAAGACTAAATTTTCTAGGGCAAGGTCCCACTTAGCTGTTCTACGGCAAGGTCTCACTTACCAGAATTCTGTGTGTTTCTGACTTTTTGCATCCTTCTGCGCGAATGTACCACTTGGTGGAATGCTGGTCTGGTTGGTGGACTCGAAAGAGCACATGGCCGCATAGTTGAGCAGTATGAACCCCCCGTCCCAGCAATCAATCAATCAATCAAACAAAAAGAAAACAAAAAAAAACGAAAAAAAGCTGATTTCAAACCCTGCGCAAGTAAGTGTGCGCGACCCGACTTCAATCCCGACTTCCCCCCTCCCCTATCCCGATCTCGTCGACTTCGATCCCAACTTCCCCCCTCCCCTATCCAGACCTTGTCGCCCCCATTCCGACTTCGTCGCTTCTCCGATACCATTTAACTTCCCCCTCCCCTATCCCGACATCGTCACTCCTCCAGCTCAGGCTCCACCCTCCCTGTCCCGACTTTGGTCCCAACTTCCCCCCTCCCGTATCCTGACCTCGTCGACTTCGATCCCGGCTTCCCCCCTCCCCTATCCCGGCCTCATCGCCCCCATCCCGATTTCGTCGCACCCCCCTCCCAGCAAGCAATCAATCAATCAATCAAACAATTAATCGATCGATCGATCGATCGATCGATCGAA